TATATATATATATATATATATATATATATATATATATATATATATATATATATATATATATATATATATATATATATATATATATATATATATATATATATATATATATATATATATATATATATATATATATATATATAAATAAATAAATAAATAAATAAATAAATAAATAAATAAATTAATTAATTAATTAATAAATGAACAAATAAAGAAATATTGTAGTGACTTGTTTGTTAAATAAATAAATAAGTAAATAAATAATGTAGAGGCTTGTTAAAAAAATAAATAAACAAACAAACAAAAAACAAATAAATAAATAAATCTAGTAGTGACTCATTTAATAAATATATAAGTAAATGAATTAATAAACAATTTAGTGACTTGTTTATTAAATAAATAAATAAATGAAAAAAAATAAATAAATAAACAAACAAATAAATCACGTAGAGACTCATTTAATAAATAAATGAAAAAAAAATTAAATAAATAAATAAATGAATTAATTAATTAATGAAAGAATGGGTGAATAAGGTAGTGACTTGTTTGTTAAATAAATAAATAAAATAATAAATAAAACAATAATAATAATTATAAAAAAAATTATTAAAAATAAAACGTAGTTGCTTGTTTGATAAAAAAAAAATTAATAAACAAATGAACAAATTATTAATGTAATGACTTGTTTAATAAATAAATAAATAAATAAATAAATAAATAAATAAATAATGTAGTGACTCGTTTAATAAATAAATAGTACAAAATATATAAATAAAAATGAATGACTGAATGAATGAATAAATGAATGAATCATTTGAAAGATTTTAAAAGGTTGTTTCTAGAGAACTTTCCCTTTACAGCATTTCAGGGGTATCATAGCATGACTTTATCATGACTTTAACTCTCACGGTGAGAACAAAGGGTCTTCTTTTAAACCGTCACTGAAGAGCAAACACACTTCCTCCATGGCCTGCGCTTTTCCTCTCTCTCTCTCTCAGATTTCCATAATCTTTATCTTTCTTCCCCACGTGCACACATCATCAAAGCGTGTCTGTTCACGATAAGAGCACAGAGGTGATGCGGAGAGATATAGAAGCGCGGACAGTATAGGAGAGTGTGTTAAATGAAGTTCTGGAGATGTGCATAACTCACCTGCCCTCATTTCTCTTTTAAGGACAAACCGTTTACCGAGTAAATCATCTCGCACCCTTTACGCTCATTTATCTTCTCTTTTTTACACAGGAATAGATAAGCATGACTTCAGCATTTTTTGCTCATGTAGTAAATCACGCGCTGCCCTCTAATGCCTTTCAGCAGAGGTGTGTGTCTCACAGGCTTGTGTGTGTGTGTGTGTGTGTGTGTTTCAGCGCTGGACCCAGATCAGGAGAGCGTAGAGGCCTTGATGCAGAGGTTTAAAGAGAGTTTCCGAACCAACACCACTATGGAGATTACACACTTCCAGAACGTCACGCACAGCTCCTCCACAGGGCGGAAGAGAGGACCAACACACACCAGAGGTTTGCAATGACACACACACTCACGCACACACATACATGAAGTATCATATGTCACTAAGGGCTAGTGTGATGATGCTAAAAATGCATTCAAGAGTTGACAAGAGTTGGCATGCTGTCCCGAGAGAGGGCCCTGAGCTCATGAGATCCTCGAGCCCGGGGCTCCCTCCCATTGCAGGGCGAGAGGGGAGTTTGAAGATTTTTTTTTTACAGGTTATTTTCGTTTTCTACTTTGCGCTCCGCATCTCTTCATTTTTCTCTCCATTTTGAACATGTTACTATAACCGAGCAACGCAATAATATCCAGGTGCTACAGATCAGATGGTCAGCGGAGGGGGAGGGGTGGTATAATTTTTTAGCTAATAAAATGCAATGTTATATCCATATAAAATGCAAAATAAACATTTTTGACAAAAAAAAATGTTTATTTATTTTTATTATTTGAAACTTTTAATAAGGATAATTTCAAAAATAGTTTTGGCACAGTGGCGCCCCCAATGTGTGGCGTCCCTATGCGCCGCATATACTGCAATACCCCCTTTTTTGCGCCCCTGTGTGACGGCAGCCATATTGCACCAGACCGCACACAACACACCAGCTGATTGGTCGAGAGGAGTCAGGATGATGAAGCTTTTTATAATATGGGGATGCTCACTGAGCAGTATGGAGTCCCCATCACTATACTGGGGAGCCACACGGACCGCAGGCTGGGCGCCCCCTGCTGGCCTCACTAACACCACATCCGGCAGCAACCTAGCTTTCCCATGTGGTCTCCCATCCAGGTACTGACCGGGCACAGCGCTGCTTAGCTTCAGTGGGCGACCATGTGAGAGTTGCAGAGAGCTACAGTAGCTGCCGGCTGTGGCCAAATGTGGCCAGGATGCCAGGGTTAAACCCCTACTCCTTTTCAAAGGACATCCTGGGATTTTTAATGACCACAGAGAGTCAGGATCTCAGTTTGACGTCTCATCCGAAAGACGGCGCTCACTGAGCAGTATGGAGTCCCCATCACTATACTGGGGCATTAGGACCCACACAGACTGCAGGTTGGGTGCCCCCTGCTGGCCTCACTAACACCACATCCGGCAGCAACCTAGCTTTCCCGTGTGGTCTCCCATCCAGGTACTGATCATGCGCAAAACCAAAATATGACCTTTTGTGATGCATAATAGAGGCCCTTTTCATTTTGTTCTCATCCAGGAATATCAATGCAGCCAAAAAGTGGATTTATTCCAATCAAATGCGTTCATTGTTGATTCAGTTTAGATCAATAACAGTATCAATAATGTGTAGGGAGTTCATCCGTTTTTTTTTTTTTTTACAGTAAACGATCATCATCATCATATGTGGCTCAGTTTCGTTTCAATTTCATTCTCATCCAGAAGTATCAGTGCCGTCGAAATACTCCCAACTCATCCGGCAGAAATTCAGAATGAATTAGCATTGAACTAAAACTAAATAAAAGCCAAACACATAAGTCATCATTTCATAAATTCGCCACACGCCACTGCCGCTCAATCAGGTCAGAGCTTAAAAACATTCCCATCCCATTAGCCTCACCGCTGAGCCACAATTTACCAGCGCCAGTCTCCACCCTGAAATTAAACCCGAGTGGAAGCGTCGCCTGCCGGGTCGCAGCGCTCAAATACAGCAGCGTGAAAAGAATCCATTCTAGCCTTGATTTTTTTTTTTTTTTCAACTCCTCACCGCGTGGCTCGTTTTCTCCACTTCCCTGAAATAAAATCTTTCCAGGACCTTTAATTACTGCCCACATGAAAATCTGCCTTCAGCACAAAACTCTTTTCTTTTTCCCTTTCCTGCCTCCATTGAGGATAACAAACAGGCTAATGGGACCAACTCCGGCACAGAGCTGGAACTCAATTAAACCGAGAAGAAGGAGTGCAAGTTCATCTGGCTGCTAACAAGTAGATTAGGCTCTTCTAGAAATAAAAACCCACCAAATGAATCAAATGCATGGTCAAATATTACTTGAGATAGGGGTCAGTGTGATTTATTTATACCACTATGCCTGACGTGGCAGTGTGATCAATGCATTTAAATGCTTTTTAATTTTTAATAGATGTAATTAGATTAATTTCTGAGTGTTTCTTATGTATTTAAGTCTAACTCACACTCACCGGCCACTTTATTAGGTACACTTTACTAGTACCAGGTTGGACCTCCTTTTACCTTTGTTCTTAATCCTGTGTGGCCATGTCATAAACATGAATCATCTCAGACTGGTTTCTTGAACATGACAATGAGTTCACTGTACTCAAATGGCCTCCACAGTCACCAGAACTCAATCCAACAGAGCAGCTTTGGGATGTGGTGGAACGGGAGATTGGCATCATGGATGTGCAGCCGACAAATCTGCAGCAGCTGCGTGATGCTGTCATGTGAATATGGAGCAAAATCTTTGAGAAATATTTCCAGCACCTTGTTGAATCTATGCCACCAAGGATTAAGGCAGTTCTAAAGGCAGAATAGGGTCCAACCTGGTACTAGTAAGGTGTACCTAATAAAGTGGCCGGTAAGTGCAGATTAGGTCCTTCCAGAAATAAAAACCCACCAAATGAATGAAATGCATGGTCAAATATTACTTTTAGAGAGGGGTCAGTGTGATATGTTAATACCACTGCGCCTGACGTGGCAGTTTGTGTCAAGTAATTTCATTTTTTTTTTTTTTTTCCTCATGGCTTGTGATTTTGCTTTCCACACAATTCCCGCGGCACATTTGCATGGATTTACACGCGGGGTTGGTCTCTTAAGTAGATTAAGACTGAGAAAGGTTGAGGGAGGGAAGCTGCTTATGCCAGTTTCCTGGTCAGAGATGCCAGGCGGAAATGCATAAGCAGTTCTGGAGGCTTGTGCAAATGTTTTAGAGGAACATTTCATTGTTCTCGCTTTTGCGTTCTGGTCCAAAATGCTGAAAGCTTATTCAGGCTAGTGGCTGTCAAGCTTTAAACATTTATAAAAAGGCAGCATGATAGTACAGTTCAAATAGCTCATAAAGCAAGCACTATATTCATTCCACAAGTCTATTACTAATATCTGAAATTTAGATGGGTATATGTAGGAAATCATTAAATGCTGGAACACGTTTAAAAACAAAATACAAATTTGCATTCAGTTATTGTTGCAATATTATTCATGTAAAACAATATGTAGTTGATATAGAAAGATCATGAACGTTCTTTATGCTGCGTTCACACCAGGCGCGTCAAGCGCGAGTGATTTACATGTTAAGTCAATGCAAACACGCGAATAGACATCCTGCGGCGCGATACACGCAAATTGCGCGAATGGCGCGGGGCGAATTGAGCGTTTTGCGCATTTGACGCGTTTAACGCGGGTTTCGCGCGAATCTCTCGAATTCGAAAATCTGAACTTCAGCGTACATTCGCGCCGCGTTAACCAATCAGAAGCTTGCTCTTGTGGGGGCGTGATTGTGACTAGAACCTGTTGTCGCTGTTCCGGGGGAAATCCTCCAGCCTTCACCGACAACAGTTCATCAAACTTGGCTTGGCTCAGTCAGAAGCACCGCTGAAAGCCTCCGTCATCCTGGTTCAGTTTCTGGAGGAGTTTATGAGCTCACAGAGCTGGATGCACCTCTGAAATTATGTAGTGGACTCAGACACGGCCCTAAACGTATCGACGCTGTTTTTCAGCCTTCATAAAGCACATAAACACTGTTATTTTCTTCATAAAATCTATGTTAGCCGTTAAGCTATGAAGCTAGTGTCTTCGGTCAGACAGAAGCCCTGCCCATCACGCAAATCGGCGTCTGTTTTGAAGTGAATTTGACGCGCGAATGAAGCGAGTAAACTCAAATGTTCACGAGGCTATTTACGCGCGAATATCGCGATTTATCCTCGCGTTCCGCGTCTGGTGTGAACACAGCGTTATATATATAGTAAAAGTCACTCGCCAGAGAAATTTGAGATCTAATAAAAGCATACACAGTGGCCTCTGGAGGATTCACGAAAATAGAAGCTGCAAATAAACGTACCTCCTGGGATGTATTTTGCGATCTCCAGAAATGTATATAGGGGTATATATCAACATTGAGACTGGGTTGCAAGTCTCACAGCTACTTAATTTTAACCCTGAAATTTTTGTGCGTCTCTCTCTGAGTTGAAAAAGCTTGTGCGAGCAAGACAGCCTACAAATCTGACTCAGTTACAACATTTCTATTAGGAGGAATGGGCCAAAATCCCTGCAAACTATTGTGAGAAGCTTGTGGAGGGAGACCCAAAACATTTGACCAACGTTATACAGTTTAAAAGCAAAGATAAACTAATACCAAGGGAATGTGTGTAAACTTTTGATTGTCTAGAATCTAATAAAAAATAAATGGCGAGGCAGGGGCGCAGTGTGCAGTGCTGTCGCCTCACAGCAAGAAGGTCGCTGGGTCGAACCTTGGCTCAGTTGGCATTTCTGTGTGGAGTTTGCATGCTCTCCCTGCCTTCGTGTGGGTTTCCTCCGGGTGCTTCGGTTTCCCCCACAGTCCAAAGACATGCAGTACAGGCGAATTGGGTAGGCTAAATTGTCCGTAGTGTATGGGTGTGTGTGTGAATGTGTGTGTGGATGTTTCCCAGAGATGGGTTGCGGCTGGAAGGGCATCCACTGCGTAAAAACTTGCTGGATAAGTTGGCGGTTCATTCCGCTGTGGTGACCCCGGAATAATAAAGGGACTAAGCCGACAAGAAAATGAATGAATGAATGATAAATAAATAAATAAATAAATAAATAAATAAATAAATAAATAAATCAATCAATCAATCAATCAATAAATCTTATTATTTTGGCATTTAGCAAATGTAAACATTAAAAAATTAAAAAAAATAAATAAATAAATAAATAAATACCAAGGAAATATGACTGTCTTTTGACAGTCTTGAAATTAATAATCCCAAAATAATTATCTCATTATTTTGGCTTTTAGCAAATGTAAATCATTTAGGAAATCCTAACAGACCTAAAATAGTAAACGTTTAGTATATGATTTACCATCAGACATTTAAAAAAAAATTAAATAAAATGGTTATGTACCTTTTTTTGAGTGAATGTAAACTGGTTTCAACTGTATATCAAGTGCCGCTGCCAATAATTTCCAATTAAACTTAAAAGCCAGCATTTT